AAGAACGAAAAGACGCTTCTTTAGACAAAACGGATATTCTGTTTTATCTACGTGTTTTCGATTCTACTAAAGAAGCAAATGAAAGTTGATTTTCCATGTCTTATGTGACATGAAACTACACCCATGGGCCGTAACTCTGTCTTGTCAAGTTGAAGCAGGTTGTTTGATTGCTAAACACTAATTCCCCCTCAGTCTACGAGCTGGATCAAAGAGAATGATTGTCTCTTTCAAAGCCCATCCACAGTTAAACCTAACGCAAGTTTAGTCGCTGAAACGTTTCAGAAGCTGATACAGGTCTCAGAAGACGAATTTAAAGTCCGTGGCAAGCTTGTTAAAAGGTTTTCGTGTTTAACGCTGATGAAACACGGCCTGTCTCCGATTCCGAGGAGAATAACGACCCTGTTTCAAGTGAATCGTGGAACATCAGTTTCTGTTCAATAATTCAACATATTTTACACCCTGTATTGACTTGATTAAAGCTATTTGTGAGTCATGATGAGGCAGTCATTGTGCTCGCTTCCTAGGGGGTATTGTGCCTCACTTGCCGCCACGATCCTCCGTGTCATCGACCAGTGATATCTTGCAGCTGAACATCGTCATCAAGTTTCGAATTTGACAGACTTTAGGTGTATAATGTAACGTCAAGGTTTGGCCGTTTTTGATATTCTAATAGTGTGAATATTGTACAATAATACCCCGCTAATCCGGACGGTACTGTTTCTATATGAGTTTGTCCGGATTAGCGTTGCATCAGTAATGAGTAACGTTCTTTGTGTATGTAACACTCTGAAAAACGGAAAAAAGTATCTCTATAGTCCGACACAGCTAATACTTTCCCAACTGGGAGGCACGGATGGCCCAGTCGCCATAAGCGCCGAAATTCGCCGTGGAGAGTTGCGTCCCTTAGGCGTGCCAGAAACCGTCGTGGGTCGTGGATTGGAACCCCTGACTATGCTTCCATACCCGTGTTCGTGGGTTTCACTAAAGTGGTAAACGTCGGAGACCTGCATCTCTTTGGGCTTTCCTCCCACATTAAGCTGACAGGCAGCGATAAATCAAACTCACTCACTCACTCACTCACTCACTCACTATATATGAAGTACACAACAGGAACGAAACCTATACACAAATACTGTATGGACATCTCTGTCAATGAAGCTTGTCATACAGTATGTACAAGTGGAAACAAAGCACCTGTTCGTATATGAAATTAAAATATATGACGTGGTTAATTTTATCATCATGATTCTATCTGGGCCCAGAGGAAGTCCACCATACAAGTTCGCCCCAATAAAGGCCCCTCGTGGGAATTCCAGGGCTGAATAGGTCCCCAGCGGGCTGTTTGATTGATAGGTGAGGTGAAGCGAAATAGGGTTTAACGTCGCGTCCAAGATTATTGCACTTATATAGCGACGTGCATGCGTGTTTGTGTGTGTGTGGCTGCTTGTACTAGTCCGGACTGATGCCGATTTATAGTGCTAGCGCACTGAGATACCATGCCGCAGTTTAACATGAATACCCCACTCAGACACAGTATACTGACTCCGAGCCGACCAGTCCTTGTTTTAGCCCCTTAATGCCGAGCGCCACACAGGGTAACAACAAGTACCATCTTTTAACGTCTATTGGTATGACGCGGCTGGGGATCGAACCCCGGACCTTCCGCTCTCCGGGCGGACGCTCTACCACTAGACCACGGAGGCGGTCATTTGATTGATAGATAACCGTCATGTAGTATTTTGCTCTGTGTGACGTAAAACAACATTTACCCAAGAGAACGCAATCCCACTCCGATGGCGTGGATCTTCACATACGTGAAAAAGTGCATAGCTCGGTAACGAGTGAGTGAGTATAGTTTTACGCCGCTGGTAGCAATATTCCAGCAATATCACGGCGGGGGACACCAGACATGGGCTTTACAGATTGCATCCATGTAGGGAATCGAACCCGGGTATTCGGCGTGACGAGCGAACGCTTTAACCTCTAGGTTACCCCACCGCCCCAGCTCGGTAGCTGGAGAACGTTCGAAAGAACGATAATATTTACATCTGGTAAGAAGACCTTTGTAGGAATCTCGAGTCTTGTGCTGCTGGTGTAATACTGCTAAAATCGGTCACCACCTCACCCACTCACTCCTATCTCGTGAAGCATCGTCATTGAATGTGGGTTAAATCCGATAACGGAATAAGACACAGCTGTATCCAATATTTATCTTACAACCCGAAGAAGCAATAAATACAGTTTGTGAGATTGCCTCCTCCTCAAAACACCACAAAGGCATGAGAGAAGTTCCACCCTTGTCTCTTCAACTCGTCTCTGAAATTAAGAGGAATTTATTAACTTTGCTTTTCTCGAGAACAATCGCCCTTTACGCATCTCGCACTAACCCGATCGGCGCACTATACACGCTGAACCTATTAATATCAAACAAAGACACTTGTGAGTTTTTACGTTAAAAGCCTGACCTATGCATGCCGCGCTCCTTGTTGCAAAGTTTATTGTAAGTTTCTTTGGGGTTAAAAAGTCGTCTGCCATTGACTGTCAGCGTAGGTTATAAATCCGTACTTGACTTTCGTGTGAACTGTGTGAGAAATGGCCGATAAAATGACCCGAAATAGGCAATTAAAGAAGTGTTTTGGTGAAAGCATTCCGTTTCAATTGGTTCTGTTAACTACATTGGTAAAGTGCTTCACAAATTTCCAGTGTTTTTCGATAATGGACACCCATCTTGCCAGACGTTCAGCTTAGTAGGTCTGGGTGTGACTATTTCTTGCATGTATAGTAAATAAGGGGAGACTCATTAAAAGAGTATGGACTTGTCCGAAAAGTCTTCAAATCGTTCATCCCTATGATTCGTTAATGGACTCGACTATGCAAGTGACAACACGCACGTGACCTGAGTCAGCAGACGACAGAGCATTACACGAAACTCTTTTACGTTCGCTTCGAAACAAGTCTTTGGATCACCGGCTGAGAAACAAATGTTCATCGAATGTAATATAGTTATGTTATTCTACCATCTGATTAAGGTAAGCTTATATGAAAAGGGAACATCGACTCGTTTCAAGACAATTGAAGTCCAAATTGTATGGTTACTTTGTAACATATCTTGACTAACTAGATCTCGTAGCTGGACATGAAATATATTATCGTAGAGCCGAATGCTTTACCCCATCGCGGTTCTCACCTAGAAACATCAGTTGTCATCGAAGTACCCGACACCTTTGAAATACATCACAACATCGTTTTTCTGATACATTAGCTCCGAATTATCAGACAGTTGAAACTCTAATCTATTACAATCCAGCCTCAAATTCGTGTGGTTAAATCCTAAAATATGTTATTGTTGTGTTGTATGCACGGGTCAATAATATTATTTGTTTGACATTCATCTTATTTGGCAAAACATATACAGTAAACTTAGAAGTACAAGTTAAACATGACTGTATAGATCTACTTTAAAAGAATAAATTGTTGTATTCAGTCGCGTATGTCAGACGTGTCGCCAGCAGAATCATTATTCTTACTTCAACATTTTACAGCCGCTTATTTAACTATTTACATGTCTTCCGCTGGTATTGCCTTCCCGTGACCTACAATCTGTCGGCATACACACATGCAACAGTTAACCCCGTGATCCCCGGCTCTCCTTCCATCTCTCGCACTCACAAAGAAGTGATGATGGGTGTTAAAATTGGAAAGAAATGTTTTCATACTCACTTGATAATAGTTACTTCTTCACCTGTGAGAACGTCAGTACACAACTGTTGCAAGGTGTAAGAAAATGGCAGTTATAAAATGTGTTCAGGACATTGTGAGTTGTTATTTGGAATCCCGTCAGTACAATTGCCTGTTGTTCAGACATTCTTGTACCTTTCTTGTGCATCCAACTAGCATTGATCATAACCAGTTTTGTTCCAAATTGGCAATCAGTCATCCGTTATAATTGGTTATGCTGTTTCACTTATTTGTCTGTACTATATATACAGAATATATATACGTGTGTGTGTGTGTGTGTGTGTGTGTGTGTGTGTGTGACAGTGACAATATGATCTAAAATTATATTAATATTTTTCGATAAATGAAAATTCTTGATTGATGCATATTCGTTAATATTGATGATGAAAGTTTTTCTGCTAAATATTTATAAATCAAGGTCATTATGGAATACAAATATAAATTCAAATTGGCTATTTTCTCCAGGATTGATTTTTTCCATTGTGGACACTTTTGTGGACAGTTTATCAGAACATCTTTGATTTTGCAGTGCAGGGCAGCCAATTTATCATTGCATTATAATATGCATCAGAACATTACCATATATGAGGTGTTTGTTGCCTATTCATCCACCTTGTTTATTTGCTGTGAGGAGTTGTGCCCCTTGGGAGTGCCAGAACCCAATAATCAAGGATTCGAATCCTAATTCACCCTGATTATGTTTCTGGGTATGTCAGCACTATACCTGTTATACCAAAGGGGTGGGTATATGCCAGAGACCTTCATCACTTCAGGGCTTCCTCCACATCAAGCTGACACTTTGAACAGAAATACTGTTGAAAGTGGTGGTAAACCAAACTCACTCACTATACATTGTGTGTATATGATTGAGTGAGTTGGGTTTAACGACGCTTTTAACAGTATTCCAGTTATATCGCGTCGTGTCAGCTTAATGTGGGAGGAAAGCCTGAAGTGATGGAGATCTCAGATGTTTACCACTTCGGTGAAACTCACGAGAACAGGTATGGTGCTGACAAACCTATAAACATAATCTGGGTGAACCGGGATTCAAACCCACAATCATAGGTTTCTGGCGTGCACAAGGGACGCAACTCTGCACAGTCTATCACGACGCCTTTGACAACAGAGCCACCCTTGCCCCCACATTGTATATGAATTCACAACAAGAGGTAAGGTGAAATGGGGTTTAAAGTTGCGTGTGTGGGTGTGTGTGACCGACCTTCGGCTCTCTGGGCAGAGGCTTACACAACAAGAACGAAATCTATACACAAATACTTTATTTACACATCTGTCTATGAAGCATATCATACATTATGTACAGCAAGTTGAACATAGCACCTGTTTGTGTATGTAATTACAATCTATGAGGCGGTTAATGCATAATGGTCGGTCTGGAGGCACTGAAGAAATAGGTGTACATGGGAGGAAGCTGTTTGAAGTAAATAACAATTACACACTAGTACATTATGGATTGATACTATCATAGTGCATCTAATAGAATACATGTTCTTAAGTGAGCAGTATTACATAATAGTGCTCACTTCAACATATTTATTTTACTGCTTACTTATCAATATTTCTATATTCTTCCAAATGCACTATGATATTACAAGTTAATTTAAGAATTTATTTATAATTATTTTTTTAAAGGCATTTAGAAGTTAGGAAGAGAGTTTATGGATGTCAAATTCTTTATTATGAGGAACACAACATTTCGGAATATATGCTTAATCCTTTATCATTCATCTGATGAAGGGGTAAGCATATACTCCGAAACGTTGTGTTCCTCATATTAAAGACGTTTCGTATTCATATTATTCTTCCCAAATGCATTTTGATATTACAAGTTAATTAAGAAATCTCTTTATGATTATTTGGTTTACATATTGCTGGTTTACAAAAGATATTTCTAAAAGAATTGTTGAAAGTGAAGAGGTTAGTTTGTGATATTTATGGTCAGTGCTTCTGAAAACCAAGTAATTAAAAGGAAATGCATGAGAAATAAGCCACTGACAGTTGATACAGTCTGTGCTGTATATAACAGACTCCGATTTAATTAATAAAATAAAAATAATACAAAAGACCTTGATAACACTGGAACTGATTTAGCTCACATCACTTTTCCTGGTTCGTTACATGTAAATATTCTAAAAACTGACATTGGACCTTGTGGACAATTATCTTATATCTATCCTTTATTATATCTGACTGTTATATCTGAAATCAACTGTATTTCAACACTATGCACTGAAATATTTAAGGCCAACATTTAACTCCCTGGATGCATACATTTCATATAGTTTTCACGCTATTTTGTCCTTTATGCTCATTGGAATCTGTTTCAGTGGATAACTGAGACTGGTTATTTACTGGTGTTGATGATGATATTTACATGGTTAGAAAAAACAATGATAACAATTATGAACAATATTATCAGAATATGCTGTTTTAGAGATAGCAGAATGAAACTCAACCATCTTTGTCAAATACAACATCAATAAAATCAGAATACATCCAGTACAATATATCATAACCTGGTGTTTATAATGATGTTAGTGCCAGTGGTGTTCTTATTAAGTGAAATAATCAAAGATTGATCAGAAGGTCCAAACGATCAAGCAACCATAATTTTCTATAAACAAACACTGCCTCTCAAGTTCTCAACTGTTCTATCCTTCAATAAAATAGATTATAATATATTGTGTTGGTGTTCTATAACACTGAAAAGAGATTTATTTTCTGAGAAGGATTATTCACTACATCCTACATAGTACTTTTGAGAAAGAATGCGTCCAGTAGTGTTTTGTCTAAAGGTAAAGTGCTGAAATAAGTATTTGTTTCTGTTAGGTGTGATCTCGTTTTACTGAACATAATATAAAAAAACAGCAAAATGAGCTAATTGATTAATTTGGATGATCGATCGTTTGGGATCATCTAATCATCAATCATGATTTTACAACTAATTCCCAACACTAGTTAGTACAGACACATTTAACTTGTTTACAGAAATAATCTGCAAGTCCATGATTCACTAAACACTACATGTTAACATAAATACTGTTATAAGGTTTGGGTCCTAATATGAAAGTTATGTCTGAAACTTAATGTTAAGGAGAGGGTAATTGTCACAGAATTCATCATCAATTACACATATCCAAGTAAGAGTTGATGGTCTTGGATTGCTATGCACTGAAACCCACATGCCCCGCTGCATGACAATACAGCTGCTAATGTCCACATACAAATGCACTGAATGATACATACTTCAGAGAACTGGTTACCTATATCATTCTATCACAAGGGAAAGGATAAAAGAAATCGGGTTGATCGACTGACAACCAGATATTCTTATCTATGCATTTCCATTTTTCCAACTGTGTTATAAATACTAGTTATTGCCTGAGTTATAACGCTTGGGACTGCAGCAGTGGTATCAACTTTAGCATCTGCAAATATGTCATATCATTAGTTTCTGCAGATGGATATAAACACTAGATTCTTCACCTGGGTATAAACACCAGTTACTATAGTCATGGTATGGTATAACACTAGATTCTCCACCTGGGTATACACACCAGTTCCTACAGTCATGGAATGGTATAACACTAGATTCTGCACCTGGGTATAAACACCAGTTCCTATAGTCATGGTATGGTATAACACTAGATTCTCCACCTGGGTATAAACACCAGTTCCTACAGTCATGGAATGGTATAACACAAGATTCTGCAGTCGTGGTGTAAAGAATTCTTACTGCTTGCTCCTAACTTCAAATTGTTTGGACTATGGAGATATGAATTTTGGAGAAACAGACGACTACATGCAATCAGGAGATTTCTGGGCTTCAAATCCCCTTTAATCATCTATTTCAACCAATCAGATAACAGCACCTATTCCCAATCATTTTACAATTTAGTATATCATCGGTTTTCTGTATTTAGTAGAAGCAGGTCAGTTAGGATACCAGTCCTTTAAGTAGCGGTGTAACGATACAGTGGGTTCTGATATGATATATATCCCGATACTATGGGTGCGAAACGATTTGTACTCCAATACAGAACTTTTTTTTCACAAGATGATAGTCTTTCCTTTTGCAGGTGAATCACAACCCTGAATCAATTGTTATTAAATTTTAGAGATCAAAGATGGGATACTGTGGGATGGGCAGAAACATATTGGTAGAGGCACTGTGAATGTTATGCTATTTATATCCAACCATGAAATACTAGGGAATCTGCAGAAGCAGGTGGTTGGAACAGTTTCTGTTATTATTCACATATTTTTACGTCATATTAACACGTAATGAAATGTATCATATGAATAGCAATACAGTTGTCATATATCAATGTATGGTATTGTGGCCATCATATCATGATACAATACTATATCCCCATATCATTACACAACTACCTTTAAGCTGATCACTGAACCATGGATATGTTCACCGAGTGACAAAAATAAAAAAGTCAGCTGGGCCTTGTAATGTTGCTGTCCATTGAATGACTGTCCATATAGTTGAGAAAAATTTTGCCAAATTATTAATATTTCTTTCTGGATAAAAAAAGGGATAAAAAATGTTAATTTGTGTTAAAAGTAAATGATTTGCTTGCATCCATAATTGTCCAGATGACAGGACTTCTGGACAAACAAGGTATCACTGTATGTTGGAGTATAATTGTTCAATATTTGAAACTGACAATTACATAGATATTAAAAATGTTTTCAAGTAAAATATGCTCAAGCTCATATTCGTATCCATCTTATGAATATATACATGGTCATGAAATAACCTAAGGTCAGTGTGATATAATTAAAATGTACACTACTAACTCCATACATATATGGAAAATTATGTCAGTCTGTGATCTGTTAAAAGTCCTGTAAAGCATATATGTACATCTGTTAGTCGGGAGTATATTTATCATAAACAGTGTTCACTATGTTTTGACAATTTGATTAACATCAGACACAAAATCATACAAACATAGACAAACAAAGACATATAAAGACATACTCTTCAGCTATGTTGTATGTACATATAAAATTGGAACTGTCATATGTCACACAAAAAGAATGCTTCAATACTTAATAGCACTAATGTGTTACTTGTACAATCCTATCGTCTGGATCAATAATGATATGCATCATTTCAGGTCATTGACATGGTATGGTCAGACATTTTTGTTTCATTTTTTACCCCAAAATGTCAGGTCTGTAGGTTGAAAAAACATAAATATAAAAAGTCCAATTACAAATATATATTTTGTATTTCTTCTTGTGATTCGTCACAAGATGTTATGTTTTGAAGTTTATAAGATAATTTTTTTAACATGTTCTAATTATCGTATTGTAAATAATCTATCCGTATTGATAAGAGTTTTTTTAAAACAGCTAGCTGTTCTTGTCGGCAGAATGAAAACAAACTGCTTTTAATTTTTAACTTTACATTCAAATATTTCGAGATGTTGGATTCATTAACCAAGTTTACAAATATTTTGGCCTTGCTTCATAAGCATCACAATGACACAATAAAACCAACTGTTATTATGATTCCAAATGAAATGTTTCTCTTGACCAGGACGACCTTCATCAAGCTAATCCTAGCCCCTATTGCTGTTGTACTCATACCTTAACACAGGTGGTACATGTAGTTGTAGCCATGACCTCATATTGTGGAAACAGGCCCTTGACAGTTGTGTGACAATTCTTTATTATGCTGATCCATGTCACACTACTAATCAGGGCCCTGTTCCACAAAGTGAGTGAGTGAGTGAGTTTGGTTTTACGCCAGTTTTAGCAACATTCCAGCAATATCACAGCGGGGGACACCAGAAATGGGCTTCACACATTGTACCCATGTCGGGATTCGAACCCGGGTCTTCGACGTGACGAGCGAACGCTTTAACCACTAGGCTACCCGATCACCCCTTTTCCACAAAGTGACCTCAGTGCGAGGACAGTTGTAACTCACATACGTTAACATAGACTTACGACAGTCATAGCGTAAAGATTGCTTTGTAAAACAATGTCCTCAACTTCAGATTGGCGTGCATGCTAACAATTCAAGTGACCCATTAAAAGAAAAAGAAATGGGTCAGGTATTAATCATACAAGGCTGTGGACCATGTTGGTCAGAAATGGATTTTTTCTTATAGTTTTCAGGGGTAGGTATCCTAGCCCTCTGTCAATCTGAAGTGCTGTAGATCAGTTACAGAGGTACCTAGGCTTCCATGACCAAGTTCCACCTGGTACTGTAGCTTGGAACCATTGTTTTTCACAGAGCAATGATGCCATGACAAAATAGTTTCCCTCATCATTAGCTTTTACCATAGTGCCTCTATATACCATTTATCCTCACACATGCATACCATGTACAAATGCCTTTGAATAAATAGACAATAATTGATCTCTTACATATGTTAATCGCATGTATCACTGGGCAAAAGGTTTATGTGTAAGTTTTCTCCATAACACATATTAATATCCTAAAGAATTTGTGAACTGATTCAAATTAATGTTTAATGTGGCACTGTATTTCTACTATGATAATTGACAGTGCCTCCATTAATATATATGCAAACTACGTTATGACATTTCACAAATCTTTTATATACAATATGCCATTTCATCTGAACACAATATGTAAACAAATATGCTTCTCATTGAGCTACAGTATCCAACAATGTGATATAATGTTGTTGCATTATATAACATGAGCTTTAAGGTAGTGTTGTATGTAGTAAGTAGGTGTTAATGCTTCAATAATTACCATCTGGTGCCATAAGTATGTGATAATGTATTTTCTACCATTGTCTGCTATACATAAGCAGTGAAGTCACACTATCTACCATCTTTCATGAGTTGCTACAGTATCTACAATAGGCACTATGAGAAAGTCATATTCTTGCAAAATCTACAATAGTGTCAAATAGGAATGGGATAATGTTGCAAAATCAAACACAGTGTTCAATCAGTATAAGCATATGATATGTTGTAATATTGATCACAGTGTTCCATATGTATGTGATATGTTGCAATATTGACCACAATGGTCTATAAGGATATAAGTGTCCAGTATGGATGGATGTATTATAAGTTTTTAGTAAAAAGAGGGAAACAAATAATAATCACATGTTAACATCTAATTGAAACTGAATTTGAATATAATCAGAGAAACAATGTGTATTTTGTGGTCATGTTCTTTTTTGGAAAACATATCACCAAATGAATCGGTTTAAATGGTGTTGAATATATTTACACTTAGCATACCTAATCACCTATAAAGCTTCTAAATACATGTCTAGTATGCTCCAAGGTGGTGCAGGTGTGTGTGCACATAAAGTATGTAATAATGTTGACCCTAGTGTTCTATAAGTAAGTGATATGTAGCAATGATACAGTGTCCTATAAGTATGTGATAATGACACTCTGTTGACTAGGGAACCTGGTGACACCTGCAGGAGTTGGGGAGTGTTTCCTCGCCCCCTGATCTTGATGGCTGCCAACACCATTTTCATCTTCAGCAGCATCAATGGTGTCATCAAGATCTGTTAGGTCATCAATGACAGTGACTGCTTCCTGGTACCCTGGGCCATGAGGGTGGCTTTGCTGAACATACACTTCTTCATAGTCCCCAACTAGAGTGTCATCAGAGCCATTGAACTTAACAAGGTTCACCTTACTTAGGTCTTTCTCCATTATACTTTGTTTCTTTTTCATGACTCTTGCATACAGATCCTCTATGCTGGCATGGAAGCTTTCGATGATCTCAGATTCAATAGCATCAATGTCATCCTCAGCCTTCCCAGACTTTTCCATCTTAGGGTCAAGTTGTAGAGGAGCTACTGCCTTCTCTGGTCGCCGATGCACACGCACTGGTTGAAGCCTCTGTTCATCAGAAGTCGGGGTGTGTACCAGCACTTCAATACTCCTAGATGGAGCTCTAGGACCTCTGTACACTTCCCTCACTGAGGCATACATGGGGTCAGATTGAGTTGAATCAAGGCTGCTTGAACTGATGCTTTGAGCTCTTGCCATCTGCATCTGATGAAACAGGATGGCATCTCTGTCAATGTTTGCAGTGACAATGGGCTGGCGATAGAACTCATCTAGTGATGTGATGGTGTCTGTGGATGCTGTCCGGACCATTGGCTTCACTGCAGAAGTGTTGGCTGAAGGGATGGGATTTCTCTGTGCCATCTGCTTCTGATTCATAGCAGCGCTCTCTGATGCTGTCTCTCGCTTCTTGGTCAGGGTCGACCAGTTGCTTCTTGGTTCCTCTAATTCCTCCTGGTTGTCCTCTTCCTCTGTGATTTTGAACATCTCCTGCATCTCCTTGTCTTTCACCTCATCAGCCAACCGTTTCTGGAGTACTGTCTCCCAGTTTGGATTTGCATCCTTCTTCCGATACCTGTTATTTGGAGCAGGTGTTGGCTTAACACTTAAACTTGGCCTCTCTCCTCTATGTTTCTTGACTCTTCCTGCTTTGTCGATGACAATTCCACCCAACTCGGACACTGCAGGTATGGCATGAAGTTGTGTTACATTTGCCTGCTCACGCAGTTTGTTCAGCAGCTGCTTCTGCCCCTGCATCTGCGTCCGCAGTATCTCACTCATCCGGAACCTCTCTGCGTCAGACAGCAGGAGCTTCACCACCAGGATCCCGATATTCTCCCGAGATCCATACCCCTGAGCAAGATCCTGCAGTCTCTTGGCTGCAATGACAGGGTCTGGGATGTCATTGATCTCACGGACAGCTTCCTGGTGTGACATGTATCGCCAGAGACCTTGATTGGCAATGATGATCATCTGGTCTTCTGAAGTCAAGGTCGTTGATGTGATGTGGGGACTGGGGATCACCTGGGGGAAGAGGTAGCTGCAGCCAATCAGTCGAGTGTTGAATGTCACCCCACTGATACGACCATCCTGGAACAGCACATATTCATGCAGTTACTTAAAAACCAATAGTTTGCCTCATGGATAATATGTCCATGCATATTGTTTCAAATCAATACACATTTTTCATTTTGGTTTGAAATAACAAAGAATTTAATCAATGGGTTTGAATCGCATATTTGCCCTGTTGATTATCCTAGGTTTGTTAGCACCATACCCATGCTTGTGGGTTTCACCTGACAAATGTTTATGACTTTTGGGTTTTCCTCACATGGCTTGATATTATTAGATCATGTCCCGAGCAAGTAATATCATCATATCCTGACGGCATGGGATGTTGCTCATAACATCAACCACTGGTTTGTATGATTGACTCGATTATGCTCAGTGAGAATTACTAAAAATAAGTGTACTGAAATATGTGGTCCTATGGGTAACATAAGGTATTAAGTGACGCATGGCTGTGTATTATTGAACATGACATATGAAATGTATACCTGAAGATGACTGTGACATAGCTGGAATATTGCTGACTGCAGTGTTAAACAACATACACACACTAACTCAGTACTGAATAAAAATAAGCTATTTGTTTGTATTGATGTTGATGTTAGTCTTACCTCTGTGATGATACCGTCAGAGTTAATGACTCTCTGACACTCTCCTTTGTCATGTGACACAGTGAACTGACGGGTGAGACAGACGGGGCTGTTTTGACGACACAGCACCACCTCGGTGTCCCCAACACTGGCGACACACAGGGAATATTGGTCATGATGGTTTGGGTGTTTCTGTATGTGTACCAAGGCAGCTGCAGCTCCAACTCTTTGCCCCACTGACTTGATCTTCCTGGAAATAACCAAACAATTCATCTTACAGTGAGTGAGTGAGTGAGTGAGTATGGTTTTACGCTGCTTTTAGCAATATTCCAGCAATATCACGGCGGGGGACACCAGAAATGGGCTTCACACATTATACCCATATCGGGAATCGAACCCAGGTCTTCGGCATGACAGCCCCTCATCTTACAGAGCTGAACATGCATACATAATGTTAATGTGATTAATCTGTGAACACAACATGTAGCTGAAAGAAAATATTAAATTTTTCATTTTATATTTTTGCAGACAAATGATTTTCCTTTCAAGAGGAAATATGATAAAGCATTACAGATTTGTAATTTAATTTTAGATGTATCAAGGATTCCTTCACAGGCATCATGGGTAAAATTGCAAATTGAATATTTCCGTTTCGATACTATTACTGACAGTTTTGCTGCATTATTGCTTTTTACTGGCATGAGGCCTAATATCGGCCTTTGAACGCAGGTCTAGATAAATCCCTAGGGGATGAGACTTACTTGTGAGCTGAGAGCATGGTGTACTTCAGGAAACCCTCCTGGGTAGGCATTTTCTCTTTCTCCTCCGCGACAATCGCTGGTGTCAACTCAATCATCAGTTTAGCAACTTCATCATTACGACCACCATCAAATATCCCAAACAGGGCATCTCCAGCTTCGCTGAACTTGGATTTATTAAGCATTGCCACTGAAAGCCTTGAGAAAGAAACATAAGTGAATTAGGTGAGTGAGATAGTATGGTCTTACGCCTCGTTTAGCAATATTCAAGCAATATCACGGCTGGGGACACCAGAAATGGGCTTCACACATTGTGCCCATGTGGGGAATCGAACCCGGGTCTTCAGCATGACGAGCGAATGCTTTAACCACTAGGCTACCCCACCGCCCCTGAAATAGGTGAGCGGTGATGCCAGGATTGTATGTCCATAAACATAAATTACTATAAAGATACTCACCAGGAGCATTCAGAAAGCATAGCGGATAAAGAATGAGTTTGTCATGATTGTCAGACTTTGATTCCCAACTCAAACAACAACTGCTAATACAACAATTATTAGGTACTGCAGATCTATCCTGTCCTTCCTGTGGAGTGACAATTATCTGCAATTCTCCCAATCTAACTTCTTCCCTATCCAAACACTTTGTGATGGTAGCGTACTTGTTTCTCATGCCTGATGTCTGTGAAAACCCACTCTGCCAACTGAGTTCTGCCTCCACTGCGGAGACATTGTTAAGAGACCGGTTCTGTCCTCGCATGTCTATCATACAGACTCTCTTGGCATTCCTGGAGGTAATGGTAATCAATTATACATGATGTAATTCCAGAGGATCAGAATATTTATTGTCTAATATTTTATTCAATAAGGCTATACAGACAACCTTTACTTGTACTGGAATAAATGAGTCAAAATGTTGCATGGGCAATACTGCAAACCAATTTGCAGCCAACTTGTGCTGCATAAACAATTAATATCCATCATTATGGATTGAAATGGACGAGGACTTTAAAAATAACTTTGAAATCAGAATTCTGATGAATTTGTGAACACAATAAACAGGATTATGAATGTAACATCTTGAACATACATGAACACACAAGAATTTGTACACTTACTTGATTCCTTGCAGTTCGTCTGTATTGACGAAGATATTTGGGTTTCCAGAGATGTCAAGGAGATTGACCTTAGATGTCATCAAGTTGCCCATGCTGACATTCTCCAGGCGATTAGTGCCAACCTCCAACACCTGAAGTTAGATTAAAAAATTAGTTTGTTTATTTGTTGTTTAACACCGCACTCAGCAATATTCCAGCTCAATGGCGGTGGTCTGTAAATAATCGAGTCTGAACCAGACAATCCAGTGATTGACATCTTGAGCATCTATCCACGCAATTGGGATACGACGACATGCATCAACCAAGCCAGCGGGCCTGACCATCCGATCCTGTCAGTCACCTCTTACGACAAGGTCTTAAAAATGAGTAAAAACAATGGAAGATGGATGATCTATTTCTAATCAATCATAAATGACAATAGTTGAACTCTGAGGGCACTTTTTGTTGTTTATTCTTATGTAAATGATAATTAAGAAATGGGTCTCTTATTATATTTGACTGTACACTGCAACAGTTTTCCAATAGCCACATTAAAACCATGTCTGGTATGAGACTTGATGCTTCATGTAGAACTTATTATTAGCAATTCACCATATTCTGGGTATGCTCGTTTCAAACAATATGTGTTACAAAATTATTTTTGTGTTCTGGTATATTGGGTAAAGAAAATAGAACAAGTTTCATTATTATTTGAATCATTTAACCTCAAATCTACACAGAAATGTGTTCCCTGTTGATGTTTCCCTTCAAAATTAATTGACTAAATGGTGAACCCCGCTAATAATTTTTCTCTCACTTTGTTTTCTCCCCTATATCCTTGAATACAACATGCTTGCAACTGACTATGCAGAGTAATATTAACTTCAATACGTAGAAATAGGATCTGCATGTACAATCAGTGTCAATCACTGTCAAACACTTTACCTCCTAATATATCGCTATACATATTGCAATACAGATCCCTGTATGACAATATCGTGCATTACAAAACAAATGTTTTGGGGGCAGTATTACCAATGAAATCTGATAATTGAAACAGCAGTACAGACACACATAGATAGTTCGAAGATATTGATATCAGAACAAAGTCAGATAATTTGTGTGGCCAGTCATTTTGAACAAAAATCAGAAATGCAATAAAGGAGATAACAAAGTACCTTAAGACTGGAAGAGTTCCTGAAGTTAGGTAACTCTTGCAGGAGATTGGCGTTGGCCCGTAGGACCTGGAGCTTGGTGTGTCTGCTGAGACAGACGGGCAGGAAGCGGAGGCTGTTGAAGGACACGTTCAACTCCTGGAGCTGCTCAAGCTTCTGGAACTCACTGAAACAGAGATAGAAACAAGTTGTTTAATTCAGCTAGTCCACAGCTTAGTATCTCACTAGAACAGAGATAGACACAAGTTGTTTAATTCAGCTAGTCCACAGCTTAGTATCTCACTAGAACAGGGATATACACCATTTGTTACATTCTTCTAGTCTACAGCTTAGTATCTCACTAGAACAGGGATAGACACAAGTTGTTTAATTCAGCTAGTCCACAGCTTAGTATCTCACTAGAACAGGGATATACACCATTTGTTACATTCTGCTAGTCTACAGCTTAGTATCTCACAAGAACAGGGATAGACACCATTTGTTACATTCTGCTAGTCCACAGCTTAGTATCTCACTAGAACAGAGATAGACACAAGTTGTTTAATTCAGCTAGTCCACAGCTTAGTATCTCACTAGAACAGGGATAGACACAAGTTGTTTAATTCAGCTAGTCCACAGCTTAGTATCTCACTAGAACAGGGATAGACACAAGTTGTTTAATTCAGCTAGTCCACAGCTTAGTATCTCACTAGAACAGGGATAGACACAAGTTGTTTAATTCAGCTAGTCCACAGCTTAGTATCTCACTAGAACAGGGATAGACACCATTTGTTACATTCTGCTAGTCTACAGCTTAGTATCTCACAAGAACAGGGATAGACACCATTTGTTACATTCTGCTAGTCCACAGCTTAGTATCTCACTAGAACAGAGATAGACACAAGTTGTTTAATTCAGCTAGTCCACAGCTTAGTATCTCACTAGAACAGGGATATACACCATTTGTTTAATTCAGCTATTGTCACAATTCACACCTGTGTATAAAGCACACCCTTCTCTTTTTGGATTCAATGTATTTCATTTCCCAGGACCAAAACTGGACTAAAAAAATAAGAAACTCAATCATATTTACTGGTGCCTTACAAAAATGTTATATGTGTGTAATGCAGCTTCATATACAGGGTACACAAACAAATGGACTTGCCACCCTAAATAATGTATCCCTTGCAACATGTTAATTTGGAGACACCTTTCTCAAAATTTCTAGCCCTGTCCTTGAGACAATGTCTTACATGTCTTTGAGAACAAGTGTTTTGCCTGTCTTCAAAGCATGTTATTACACATGTCTTTGAGAGCAAGTGTTTGCCTGTCTTCAAAGCATGTTTTATACATTTCTTTGAGAGAAAGTGTTTTGTCTGTCTTCGAAGCATGTTTAAAACTGTCTGGATGGCATGTGTTTTACCTCTATTGAGAGCATGTTTTATAACTGCCTGGATGGCATGTGTTTTACCTCTGTTGAGAGCATGTTTTATAACTGCCTGGATAGCATGTGTTTTACCTCTTTTGAGAGCATGTTTTATATCTGCCTGGATGGCATGTGTTATACCTCTATTGAGAGCATGTTTTATATCTGCCTGGATGGCATGTGTTATACCTCTATTGAGAGCATGTTTTATAACTGCCTGGATAGCATGTGTTTTACCTCTGTTGAGAGCATGTTTTATAACTGCCTGGATAGCATGTGTTTTACCTCTGTTGAGAGCATGTTTTATAACTGCCTGGATAACATGTGTTTTACCTCTATTGAGAGTATGTTTTATAACTGCCTGGATGGTATGTGTTATACCTCTATTGAGAGTATGTTTTATAACTGTCTGGATGGCATGTGTTATACCTCTATTGAGAGTATGTTTTATAACTGCCTGGATGGCATGTGTTATACCTCTATTGAGAGTATGTTTTATAACTGTCTGGATGGCATGTGTTATACCTCTATTGAGAGTATGTTTTATATCTGCCTGGATGGCATGTGTTATACCTCTATTGAGAGTATGTTTTATAACTGCCTGGATGGCATGTGTTATACCTCTATTGAGAGCATGTTTTATAACTGCCTGGATGGCATGTGTTATACCTCTATTGAGAGTATGTTTTATAACTGCCTGGATGGCATGTGTTATACGTCTATTGAGAGTATGTTTTATAACTGTCTGGATGGCATGTGTTATACCTCTATTGAGAGTATGTTTTATATCTGCCTGGATGGCATGTGTTATACCTCTATTGAGAGTATGTTTTATAACTGCCTGGATGGCATGTGTTATACCTCTATTGAGAGTATGTTTTATAACTGCCTGGATGGCATGTGTTATACCTCTATTGAGAGTATGTTTTATAACTGCCTGGATGGCATGTGTTATACCTCTATTGAGAGTATGTTTTATAACTGCCTGGATGGCATGTGTTATACCTCTATTGAGAGTATGTTTTATAACTGCCTGGATAGCATGTGTTATACCTGTCTTTGATCTCTGTGATGCAGTTTTTGGCGAGGTGAAGGACACGGAGTCGAGGGAAGCAGCACACTTTAAATATGGCCTTGTTGGTGAGTCTGTTGGAGGTGAGGTACAGCTCCTGCAACTTGTTGTAAGTGTCGTTACGGTTCGGTGCTGGCAGATCCACCAGACAGTTGCCTGTAAGGTTCAGGCAGCGTAGTCTGGAAACAAACAAGGAGATATATGTACTTATACCAATAGTGTGTGTAATGTTTTGATGGGTTATTCTCCATAACGACCCACCTGTAAACATGCCGAGGTTGGAAAATTCAGTTCAGACGAGAGGGGAACAAGCCTCGGTTCATGCTTTCGCATCGTCACGTAAAGAGCATCATGTTCGTGGCCAAGGTGGGATAAGTTGGTTAGCCACTCCCCCCACCAGTTGTTATGGACTTCAACGCTAGAAGCCCCAGGAGACAGTGTCAAAAATCCAAGTCAGCCTTGAGGTTGGTTGGTTCGTTTGTTGTTTAACGCCGCACTCAGCAATATTCCAGCTATATGACGGCGGTCTGTAAATAATCGAGTCTGGACCAGACAATCCAGTGATTGATATCATGAGCATCGATCCACACAATTGGGATCGATGATATGTATCAACCAAGTCAGCGAGCCTGACCACCCGATCGCGTTAGTGGCCTTTTACGACAAGCATAGTCGCCTTTTACGGCAAGCATTGGTTGCTGAAGACCTATTCTACCCTAGAATCTTCACGGGTCCAGTCTTAAGGAGGGCGCTAACCTATACATGCAGCAGTGTCTGCTGGCAGCTCTGTCATCCAGCTATTTTATGCTTTGTTTGTTTGCTTGTTTGGCGCCACACTCAGCAACATTCCAGCTATTTGATGGCAGTTTGTAAATAATCAAGTCTGGACCAGTCAATCCAGTGATTGATATCATGAGCATCAACCTATGCAACTGAGATACGATGACATGCATCAACCAAGTCAGCAAACCTGAACAACCAATCCTGTTTGCTGCCTCTTACGGCAAGCATGGGTTGCTGAAAACCTTTCTAACCCGGATCTTCACAGGTTCTATGTTACGGATTATGAGCAGTATCGACTACAGAATATGATAAATCATATCATTGATACTGGATACTGCAGAGGACATAAAAATACTGTGAAGAATAATAGGTGTCACAGTCAACACTTCTCACACATCACTGCCTAATCTTGCACTCTCTTCTTCATCAAATATAGTATGTAGATTATACCATGAACTTGACAGTGATATTCCAATTCATAATTTATTATAATAGAGACAAATAAATATACAGAATGATCCCTAAATAAGTGACAACAGCATGGCAAATAACTTATTCATCCAGCCTAAAGATTAGCATATATCATCCAAAACTGGCTTCCACAGGAGAAATCTCTTGGGTGAGATCAATGAAATTGCATCACAATGCTTTACAGACCATTATGACATCATTGGTTACCATGATGTCACAATCAAATGACATCACTAATGGCTCTGCTACTGAAACTGTTAGCAGTACTTTTTATACTAAAGACACTGCTTATTACTGTCTACAAACTGCAAAAGTTGGAAGAGTGATGTTGGATGATAATAAAATCTCACCCTTGTGTCTTTTGATATCAAATATATCAACACTTTTATCAACTCGTGTAGACATATTTGATATATTTAAGGTCCTTGCCCCACTCACTTGTTGGCCCGGATGAAGAGGTCGGGAGGCAGCTGGGTCAGGAGGTTCCTCTCCAGGTGCAGCTCCTCGATGAGGCAGTGCTTGATGTCCGCGGGCAGCAGCGTCAGTTGGTTGTGGTTCACACGCAGGATCTTCAGCTTCCTTGCATCAGTCAGCATCCTACAAACAGGAGGATGAACAATAAATCACTAACACTTATAAGCCCACACTCCAGTGCAGTGGTGACTTAGCCTAACACCACAGCCACAGGCTAATTTAATTTGTATATCATGTGACTGGACGTTTCTCTTGTTTGTTAACAAACACGATTATTCTGAAATCAGAACAGAATGGCCTAAATACAAGCCTTTTGGAGAGCTTTACATTTTTTAGCATAGTCATTTAGATATGTTACTACAACTGCGACAGTGAGGTGCATGACAAAATATTTTATACATCAAACTGACAATATCGCTAGCTCTTCACATGGCTTTGATGACAGCACATGAAGCCATACAACCAATGTAAACAAAGGTTAACTATGCTAATGGAAATGCTTTTTCATGTTTTAAGGTATTTTCTCAATGAAAGTTAACCATTCTATGACATGTTTATCAAAATGTGTGGACTCATAAAAAATGAAACGGATCTAAAACATGCACAATGTCTTGAATGGACTCTGTAAGATGTGACGAATCATCACATGGCGTGGCCAGTAGCAGATGTACTATGCTGGTCGCACGGAACTCTGAGTGAGTAGGAGAGTGTTACTGGTCCCTGTGGGGATTGTGGGCGCAATAGGCCCCCAATGCTCATGCTTGTGGTAAGAGAGAACTAAAATGAGGATAGCATGTTTATATTGTGTGACCTAGTTGATTGCGTGTGATGGTGATCCGATGGTGTTGATTGTTGTTCATGCTAACCCCTGGTTTATGTTGCTAAGACTTCATTATTTATAGGATGCACTCACAGTGTTATAGCTGGAATATTACTGATTGTGGTGTTAATCAACATTCACTACCTTACCAGCTCACTCACTACAAGTCATGACATTATGTGTTCTCACACAGCGGTATATATAACTGATATGCTGTCATTTCTTGTATTTGAAAGAAAGTGATAATAAGTGCAACACTGATAGGCTTAATTAAGAACTTAAATAGAGTTCATGTTTGTGGAGGGGACATAAACCTCCATAGATGCAAAACATATTGCATTTATTTCCTTATTCATAAGTCAACAGATACTACTCAAAAGAAGTTATGAACCACCCAATCATTGCATAACTTTCTTAACTTAACATAACATAATAATTTCACAGACTGTTTATTGAATCATTAACTCAAAAAAGATGTGGTGCAATAATTATAAGTCAGGTAGATGAATGATGTGGCAACAGTATTGTACAATAGTTACCTGTCAGGTAGATTAGACGAGCAGTGTTATTGTGGCTACAATGTTGTACAATAGTTACCTGTCAAGGTAGATTAGCGATGTTGTTGTGGCTACAATGTTGTACAATAATTACCTGTCAAGGTAGATTAGCGATGTTGTTGTGGCTACAATGTTGTACAATAATTACCTGTCAGGTAGATGAATAATGTTGTGGCTACAGTATTGTACAATAGTTACCTGTCAGGTAGGCAAGCAATGTTGTTGTGGCTACAATGTTGTACAATAGTTACCTGTCAGGTAGGCAAGCGATGTTGTACAATAATTACCTGACAGGTAGATGAATAATGTTGTGGCTACAGTATTGTACAATAGTTACCTGTCAGGTAGGCAAGCGATGTTGTTGTGGATACAATGTTGTACAATAGTTACCTGTCAGGTAGGCAAGCGATGTTGTTGTGGCTACAATGTTGTACAATAGTTACCTGTCAGGTAGGCAAGCGATGTTGTACAATAATTACCTGACAGGTAGATGAATAATGTTGTGGCTACAGTATTGTACAATAGTTACCTGTCAGGTAGGCAAGCAATGTTGTTGTGGCTACAATGTTGTACAATAGTTACCTGTCAGGTACATGAATATTGTTGTGGCTACAGTATTGTACAATAGTTACCTGTCAGGTAGGCAAGCGATGTTGTTGTGGCTACAATGTTGTACAATAGTTACCTGTCAGGTAGGCAAGCGATGTTGTACAATAATTACCTGACAGGTAGATGAATAATGTTGTGGCTACAGTATTGTACAATAGTTACCTGTCAGGTAGGCAAGCGATGTTGTTGTGGATACAATGTTGTACAATAGTTTCCTGTCAGGTAGGCAAGCGATGTTGTTGTGGCTACAATGTTGTACAATAGTTACCTGTCAGGTAGGCAAGCGATGTTGTACAATAATTACCTGACAGGTAGATGAATAATGTTGTGGCTACAGTATTGTACAATAGTTACCTGTCAGGTAGGCAAGCAATGTTGTTGTGGCTACAATGTTGTACAATAGTTACCTGTCAGGTACATGAATATTGTTGTGGCTACAGTATTGTACAATAGTTACCTGTCAGGTAGGCAAGCGATGTTGTTGTGGACACAATGTTGTACAATAGTTACCTGTCAGGTAGGCAAGCGATGTTGTTGTGGCTCTAATGTTGTACAATAGTTACCTGTCAGGTAGGCAAGCAATGTTGTTGTGGCTACAATGTTGTACAATAGTTACCTGTCAGGTAGATGAATAATGTTGTGGCTACAGTATTGTACAATAGTTACCTGTCAGGTAGGCAAGCGATGTTGTTGTGGCTACAATGTTGTACAATAGTTACCTGTCAGGTAGGCAAGCAATGTTGTACAATAATTACCTGACAGGTAGATGAATAATGTTGTGGCTACAGTATTGTACAATAGTTACCTGTCAGGTAGGCAAGCGATGTTGTTGTGGCTACAATGTTGTGAAATAGTTACCTGTCAGGTAGGCAAGTGATGTTGTACAATAATTACCTGACAGGTAGATGAATAATGTTGTGGCTACAGTATTGTACAATAGTTACCTGTCAGGTAGGCAAGCGATGTTGTACAATAATTACCTGACAGGTAGATGAATAATGTTGTGGCTACAGTATTGTACAATAGTTACCTGTCAGGTAGACGAGCGATGTTGTTGTGGCTACAATGTTGTACAATAATTACCTGTCAGGTAGACGAGCAATGTTGTTGTGGCTAAAATGTTGTACAATTGTTACCTGTCAGGTAGATGAATAATGTTGTGGCTACAGTATTGTACAATAATTACCTGTCAGGTAGACGAGCGATGTTGTTGTGGCTCAGATCCAGTCGTACTAGGAAGAAACAGTCACCCAGCCATGTGGGAACCTCTTTGAGCTGGTTACTGTAACAGGAAATCTTAAACTTAAAGGAGTTTGTATCCTACTAGGCTGCATGTTTTGAAAGATCCGCATGGTTCCAGAGATTTAAGTCAAGTGTGTAAAATATATACAAAAAGATTTGAAGCTTCCATAGTTTCAATATGTATACAGAATTATTTTCATGTTATTTCGAGGACAATGTCTTCCACTTCTCACCATGTTATTTCATGATCACAATGTCCTAAAGGAGAACTTGGCTAATGCATACTTTTTCCTTTTTGTGAACACCTGGTGTCATGACTGTTTTTCAGTGATCCATTCGTATAACTTTCACTGCTATTTTTCCTTTTAATGCCCAATGGGTCCAGATTTGTTATTCTCTGGTATTCTATGTTTTCTGAAGGATAATCGGTGAGCTTCAGAACAGCATCTTAAACTATCATTTCAAATAATGTTTCTGTATTTCCTCCATATGTAACAGTTTCACTGTTCTGATTCAGCTCCCTGTTGTAATATTTGTGACTACTTACTAGGACACATCCATAGAAACAAGCCACTCAGGCTTGGGGTTGATGGAAATACTCTCAATTTCTGAAAAGAAATTACCATCACGATGTAAACATGATTGAGACTGATTCTGCAGCATGTAATGTTTCTAAGTTGACATTTACTTTACCAAACATATAATATAGCTTCTGTCCACTTCAGACCTCTTCACTAAATGGTCAACAACTACAAAACACAACACCGCTTTTGTTGATAATGCATTAATGTATGTCCGAGTGTGAATATAGTGGTTTACTTTAGAGGTTGATTTAAACACATACTATATTGTGTCCATTGCAATCTAATGAAACTAATAGTTGTGTTTGTTGCAATAAAAAGCTAATGTACCTCAAAACTAATGTACCTCAATATTGTCAACAAGCTGTATTGTGACATAAAAGTTCTGCAAAATCATGTTTATTAATATGTCTCTTGTTTACATTTTTATTTTTCTCTCTATTGCCTAGGTATTCTTTTACACATTTATGGGGCATCACTGCAGATTTTGATTTGAGACAAGTTATGTTTCAAAACATACAATTTAATTTTTTGGACTTATTGTCACTATATCTAGTGATCAATTTATTGTGGCGTGTGTGTGTGTGTGTGTGTGTGTGTGTGTGTGTGTGTGTGTGTTAAATCATGAGGACAAATCTTTTTCTATTTTAGTTCTGGATCAATTATTTTCTTCCCCCCCCTCCTCAGAAGTTGGTCAGTCCCTAAGACTTTCAATGGGTAAGGTGCTGACAGAAAAATAATCAAAGTCAGGTCGAACTCATGGCCAGAGGATCATTGCAGCTGAGGGTTGTAAAATTAATTGCGACGCCTTTGGTGATTGGTTTCATATCAGACACACACTCTTACCATTAAACGTGGTTGTATTGAAAAGCGCATCAAAGGTTCTCAAAGAGTACATTTTTGGGCAATGTATACTTACTATTATGTGAAACAAAGATGTTCTTTAACGATGATCCATTGATCTGAAGGCTTCGAATCATGTTCCGTTCACAGTTTAAATACTCCAGAGCACGAATTGCACGAATGTCCAGGTCGATGATCTCGTTGTCTCGAATGTCAAGATGAGTCACATGATCTAGTGACTGAAACCGAGCAGTTTCTGTCGGGAGAAGTTGAAGTTTGTTCATTCTGAGATCAATCTTTTTGATGTGGGTCATATGGTCTAAGTAGTCTGTGGGTAAACGTGATATTTGGTTTCCTGCCATGATAAGGCTGTCCAGTTTGTATGATGCATGCTGCGACTGACACAACACACTGGGAATAAATGTAAAACGATTGAATGCCAGCACAATGACAACGAGTCTCTTCATTTGAGCTATTTCCTCCGGCAATGATGACAGTCTATTATTGTGAAGATGTAGTGCTTGTAAGCTGAAATTATTGAAAATAACATGTTCAGAATAGAATAGAGAGACATAACAAATTATATTTTAATATACCATAGTGAAGGAAGACCTGACATAATTACATTCAGCAAAGAAGAAAAATTTGGCCAAATCCCAACAATTCATATGTGCTTACACTGTCTATATATTTAAGTAGTGAGTGAGTGAGTATGGTTTTTTGCCCCTTCTTGCAATATGACAATGGAGGACAGTATAGATGGGCTTCACACATTGTATCCATGTTGGGAATGGAACCCAGGTCTTTGATGTGGTGAGCCTAGGCTACTGCCACCACCCTTGTATGTAAGTAATTCAGGTTATATTTCTTCAAAAGCAAACTGGAAACAAATCCAACCATCATTAAAAACTGTTGCCAATTCAAGAAAACACACACAAAATTATAAATTCCTGTTAAACAAAAACTATCCGTTCAGCACTTTACTGGTTCACTAGACAATATACGTTTCATTAACAAGATGTATTTTGGAGTAGTGTTCAACCCCATGAACTGGATCTAGCACAAATTTTATTGAATATTGTAACATAAATGAATATTTTTCAGGCTAAGGCTGCAATAATCACTGGATTGTCTGGTACAGACTTTATTTTGTACAGACCGCCGTCATATAGCTGGAACATTGCTAAGTGCGGCGTTAAATAACAAAGAAACAAACAAAACTATCACTACAAAAAAGTCTTGTTCCTGCTTACTTGGTGAGGTCTGATATTTGGGAGGGGACCTCCTCCAGTTTGTTGCTAGCAACATTCAGCTCAGTCAGGGTTCGCATCCGACAAACGGCCTGGGGGAAGTTGACCAAACCATTGTCTGCCAGGTTGAGACTTCGGAGGTGGGTGAACCTGAGATTCAGATAAAGATTATCACAGTTGTAGCTGGCAAATGGTCAGTTTTCTAAAATGAACACTTATTTATAGCCATAATTATTACCATATTGATCCTTTTGATCCACTGACTATAAAACTTTTATGAACATTTTTATGAAATACAGGATGTAATACTTCTCCTGTATTACTCTACATATCTTGAAGATCTGTATGTGAAGAAAGACTACAATAAGTCTTTGTAATACAAAGGCCAAAATATGTTTAGTATCGGTACAATCTATTGTTGCATTCAAAATTTTACAGCAGGTATTTTATCATAACTAATACACAACACAACCTTTGTGCTAAGGCAATCATAACTAAACCATGTTTTAATATAGAGTTATGATGGTCAAATCACTAAGATGTGGAGTGGAGTCTTTTTGTTTGTCGTTGTTTTCTTCCTGTACGAGTACATCAAGGAAGGGGAGCTATCGATTGGTTTCTTCCTCCATGGTGAACTGCATTCGTGGGTTTGGGGAATTCAGGTGGTCCAATAGAGTTCTGGGGTCATTGTTGGGATGTAGGATGACAAAGGTGTCATCAACACTACCCTTGTGTGTACATAACAGGCTTTTCTACTCCAGTATAACAATATCTACTCTACTATATAAACATTGCCTCCTACTTGTATATATACTTGCCAACCACACTCTATATATCACTTGCTTGATAACCGTGTTAGAACCTACACCGAAACGTCACTCTTAATTGTAATAAAGAAGTTGTTCATCCATAAATTCTTATCGTTACTTAACTCTAGAATTGCTTTTTCCATTTATAAGTCAATGTTGTGGTCTCTGTAGGAGGCTCATTATAGAAAGCAAGTGCACTATATATTTGGGGTTTGACAGGTACATGGCAGAGTGTATATGTGTTATGTCATTTCATTAATCTGTGCATGTGTGTATTTTAATGTTAATCCCACCTTGGCAAATCATCCAGCCATCCAATTGTGTAGATGTCCTCCTCAATGGGCCGTTCTCGCAGGACATTGTGCCTCAGGATGAGGATCTCGAGGTCATCGTTGATGAAGACTGTCTCTGGCAGGAACTCCAAATGGCAGTTGGACAAGTCAGCCTTGGTTGGAAGCTTGGATGTTGCCTGAAATGGACAAATAAGTAATATATCAAAACAATTGGAAAGTTACAAAATTAAATTTAAACCCGACCACATAATTATTTTGTGCTTAAAAAATACAAAGTGATGTTAGAGAAAGCATATTTTTTACCAAACCCTGCTTTTAAACATACAAACATACAAATATTGTCAGGTAATACCAGTTGGACCAGCCTCAAGGTAACATGGACAAATATTTGCCCCTCATGCTGAAACCTGGATTTGTGCACAAACATGGAAGCCCTTGTGGTGTTCCCAGCCATGCTGGTGGTGAAAGTTTGCTGAACAGTGGTGGCATGAAACCTTATACTCACTCAACACTCACAGGGATTTTCTAGACCTGCTCAGATGCCGATATTCGGCCCCAAATCCCAAATTTTATGAAAATAAGAATGTTAAAAAAATGCACTTTTGAAAACTATCACCCTGCCAAGGGCACTTACCGGTAGTTTGGAATCCTAAGATAAATCACTGACTCAAATGGATAATGTTGTAGTTAAGGATTCATTTCCAAACACAACTCAGGAATCAGTTATTCAAACTTATTGCATCTACATATTTAATGTAAGATTAAAATAATTGACAATTTGGGAACAAGGAGTTTGAAAAATGACAAAAGTTTGCAATATTCGTACCTTTTTCGCCTTCTTGATCCACTTGTTGTACTCTCCGGCATTCATGAAGGAGATGTAGATCGACCTCTCACCCTGGATGGTCGATGTTAGCTTCAGACAGTGTTCCTGACCTTTGACCTGCACTTCTTCCACAGAGCCTTTCGCCAACTGGACAACTGTAGGTTTGGCATTGCGATCTGTGTAGGGAAGTAGTGCTATAATAATTTGAGCTGTCATCACATTTGATGATCGACTTTCTGATGGAAAGCCTCACAGATCTTAACCTTGATTTATCCCATTGCAAACAATTAATTGTTTAAATGAAAAATAGATTTGTTGACATGTACCTGGAACATATTTTTCAATGATTTTTGCAATGTGGAGGTGAGGTGAAATGGGCTTTAACGTCGCTTCCAAGATTATTGACATTTGTCAGAATATTCCAGCTATATGATGGCAGTCTGTAAATAATCAGGTCTGGACTAGACCAGATTTACATCATGACCATCGATCTAGATAATTGGGATTCGATGACGTGAATCAACCAAGTCAGCGAGCCTGACCACCCAATCCTGTTAGTCGCCTCTTATGGCAAGGGTGGGTTGCTGAAGACCTTCTGGTATTCTCTACCAGGATCTTCATGGGTCTTGGGTTAAGAGTGAAGTGAACAAATTCAGTTTATCAATTCCTGGATTAGGAACAGCAGGGAATTACATGCTCTACATCTGCAGGAGACACACAACTCACCTCTGTATATAAGTAGTCTGGTTCCAGTGATGACACACAGTCGCCGCACCCACTGGTGGAGTAACTTCCCCTTGCGGAGGTAGGCATAGGAGGACAGCTGACTCCGGGAGTATGTGCTGTCAGAGATTGGCTTGCCTGAAACATTTCATTAATGTATGAATTGACATATTCACGACATCGGCATGTAGTGTAGTAAATTTGGACTCATCCCAGCCCAAGTAGTATTATTTACAATCAATCAAGTCACCAAACCTGACCACTCTAAACCATTAAGTTGCCTCTTACAACAAGCATAGGTTACTGGGACCATTCTTATTAAAGCCTGGATTATCACAGGGTGTAACAGGTTATATGGAGGCTGTGCTAAATGGTCTTGAGCATGTTTCAGGCAAGTTCAAGACATTGTAATTAGTGACATGTGTGAAACATAGACATTATTTCTGAGTTAAATAGGCAATCAATAAAGGCTAGATTGATATCTATTATGAAACTGGAGTTGTGGCAGGCGCTACTGGTAGAGAGCAATGTGTGAACATCCGGGTTAGAATAGTCTTCAGCAACCCATGCTTGTTGTAAAGGGGTAAGAGGGGACTAACTAGCGAGATCAGGTGGTCAGGCTCGCTGACTTGCTTGATGCATGTCAATTTATCCCAATTGTGTGGATTGATGCTCATGATGTCAATCACTGGCTTGTGTGGTCCAAATTGTGAGGTTTCTGAGTGCAACATTAAACAACAAACAAACAACCTGAAGATCAGGACATGATTACTCTTTTTGTGAACACCTGGTGTCATCACTGATTTTCAGTGATGCATTCATATAATTTTCACCACTATTTTGCATTTTAAAAGAATCTGTTTTGGAAGATAATCAAGAATGATTATTCTCTGGCTTTGACATTTTATATTTACCAGATAGCCAAAGTGGTGTCAACATGTTTGGAGTGAGTGAGTGAGTTAAATTTTACATCGCATCGGCAATATTTCAGCCATATAGCGATGTAAACTAGGTTGAACAAGTTAGGCATTTATATTATATATTAAAAGCTGTCATCGAAGGACAGAACAACAACCAGCAATATATCACAGATTATAATTTTAAAACTAGTTTTAGAGCAATAAAATAATCAGATACAATACAAACGATACAATATAAAAACGGGCTGTAGATCGCCAGCAACCAAAGTTAGGCCACCATACTAGGGACCATGGGGACTTACGGTACTTCTGCTACCTACATGGTACCCCAGCAGGATTTACACCATCCCTCTGGCCACTGGCGATTATCAGACAGATTAGCCAAAGAGTTAAAATCAACAAAAATACTACGATTAAAAGCACAGAGAAAGGAAATGATACGTTGAATGATACTGGACTTACGTACCTCAACATGTTTGGAAGACATTTTTCTCCCCATTTTTTCATTTATTTTAGCAGTCATGTCTATTGGGTCATACATATGCAATCTTTATACATATACAAATTCAAGTACAAGTTTCATGTTAAGTCAGGATATCGAAGGAGCTGTGTTACCAATTTCCTTTAGTCAACTGCAACATTGTTGTTCTTTCTGGCAATAAACATTTCCAAATAGATAGTATATTTAATAATGGATATAATTTTTTTATTGGATTTAGTTTATTTGTTTGGATACTTGATACTTGATACATTTTACTTACCAGAATGAATATGGTTCATGAAATCATAGCCTGTATCAATTTTGGCTGTGTTTTAACGTACCTTACATATTATGCTATTATTCTCTAGATGACATCCCTAGCTTGAAAATCCGGGGTAGAATAGGTATTCAGCAACCCATGCTTGCCCTAAAAGGTGACTATGCCCGTCAGAGCAGACTAACGGGATCGCTGACTGGGTTGATGCATGTCATCCTATCCGAATTTCTGTGGATCAATGCTCATGATATCAGTCACTGGATTGTCTGGTTCAGACTCGATTATTTACAGACCGCTGTCGTATAGCTGGAATATTGCTGAGTATACAGCTGTGCTTTATTCAGTGTCACAGTCTGACTAGTGGCCGACAGCTCTGGTCATATATGACCTTTCACTGGACTGTCATCTTGTCAGTTATATTCCTGCAACCACCAGTGAATACAAATTCATAATTCACGACCAGATCCTTTAGAGAGTATCCTATGAGCTACAAGGGATTACTGATTATTATTTCATGAGAGACAGATAATCTGTTATTGCGAGTTGAAAGTAGGTTTATTCTGTATACCAGGATTACATATTTTCTGAGAAATGTAGATCAAATATAGGTTACCAGATCACATGTGGAGCTCATATCATCTCAGTCTATTGTTGGAATGACTTAATATAAAATAATCTCTGACGTCATAAACAACGGATAATGACATCTTTGATTATTTGCGAAAATGCATCGCAATCTTGCGGGCCACATCACAAACAATGGAAGAACTGGCATTATCTAACTAATCAACATGAAGCGATTATTATAACACTCAATTGCACTCATATCCTAGCCCCTATAGGTAATATATTTCTGTAAGCCTGTATAATGTATATGTCCTGATGGTAGATATGTACACAATACCTGGATAGTGTACAGACTGATAGTATACAGGCATCATAGTGTATCTAGAGTGAAATACTATTTGTGTGGACCCCATTAGTGTAGACCCTGCTTAGTGTGGATCCTGTTATTCTGGAAACCCTTCACTCCAAACACAAACTGTTAGGATGCCCACAAAAATACATAAGGACAGTATAGTAAACTACAGTTATAACGAACTCAAAGGAACCACTAACTTTAGTTCGTAATAACCCTAGTTCATTATAAGCATATATACAGCATATATACAATAAATGGCCGTGACTAAAAAATAGGTTTGTTATATCGGTCAGTTTTTTATAAACATAGTTTACTGTACTTCCAAGTCATGGTTCCCTTAACCTGAAAGTTGAATTGCAGCTGACCCTGTTCAGTGTGGATCCTGTTATTCTGGAAACGCTTCATTCCAAACTAATACTGTTGGAATGCCCACATAAATACAAAAGGACATTACCTCCTATTCATGGTTCTCTAATCCTGAAAGTTTTTTATTCTCAGGGAAACTTCGCTGTCCAGACTAACAGAATTTCAGTATATACCATATAACCAGAGAGAACACATGTCTGCAAGTGAAAGTATTACAAATGTTGACTTAATACTAACCCTTTTTAGGCTTGTATTTCACAAGGTAAAGCAATATGTGTGGGTGTGTCAGGATGACATTGATCCATCCTACAGCAGTCTGAACAATATTGTCCTCTGTTCTCACTAATGAGATGGTTTTCCCCATAATTAGTCATTCAGCCATTGATGGATACTAAACCTGTTCTGACTCAATTAACTCTAATAACATCTACTGAAAGGAATCAAACTATGAAAGAGTGGCTCCCATCCCCATCACGTTCCCCATAGTGTCTACCTGACTGAACAAATTACTGTCCAATAGCCCCCACCCCATGGACACGACACTGTGTTGCAGATCAACAGGTCTCGCTCCCAACCAGTGTATCACCACGGTCGACCCAGATGTTCCAGACAATAAGCCTTCATGTACACTATGGGAACCATCACCCACATACAACCCACTTCAGTGATCACAATGGCCATGGTTAATCAGGAATTTCCTCTCCTTAATTCTGTTCACTATCGGCTTTCTGTACTCCGCGTATCAAAACCTCAGCCCACTATTAAGACAACTTATTACACTTAGTTTTAAATAGGTTAAGCTCCTGAAGACTTCTTAATGGTATAACAATATTTTTGAAGCAACACAAGGAGGAAATACCAATATGTTTTCTAAATAAAACTGTTTTCAAAACAAGTTTGGGGTGGCTATTGTAGCAGCAAGATTTGTAAGGTGAAAAGAATTATGTGAAAGCCAGTCAAGCATGCAAGGCAAGTTCTGTATATTTCTGTTAAAATCCCTGAAGCACAGCATAGTTACAGCAGTACCTATTATGGGTCAGATGGCAGATATGTTTCTGGAGTAGCTGTGTTGAGTAAAACTGGTGTGAAATAATGTTTTGGACAACTGGTAGACTCTGGGTCACCTTGCGCTGATCAGATACAGACATAACATGGGGGAAAATGGATCAATCTTTTAATGAAAGATTCACATGTCACCCCTGTTAATAAATCTAACAGAAAGGACATTGGACATAATGAAACAGTTTGATAAAGAAAAATAAACCATTCTGATGACATCATCCTATAGATTCTGAACCAGGAATTCACTGGCCATTCTGAAGGTGTTAAACTGATACAGCAAAAGTTCATTATAGAAAAATAATAATAATAATAATAATATTTTAACCATAACATGGTTTAAGTTGGAAAAACCACTGAAATTTGTTGATTCCGAGAATAGAATCAACTAACCCCTTTATGCTTGTTGATTCTACTTCCAGAATCAACAGACTCAAGTGATTTCTCCATCACATGACGATGACAAAAGTAGTGAGCAAACATTTTTCGAAAAGGAAAAAACAAAAACAAAATTTTTAGAGACCTATTTCTAATTCCATGAAACTTTAGAAAACTAATTTGATATCTGGTAGAAATGTAAACCCAGGAGGTGTTTGTCACAGACTGAGTGAGTAAATGTGGTTTTATCCTGAAGTCACAATATACAAACTTTATTACATGGGCTGGTAAATAATCGAGTCTGGGACAGCAACTATTGTCTTAAATAATAGCCTCAGTAAAGATCCACATTGTCAGAGTACAATGACACAAATCAACAATGTTGCACATGGTAACCACCTGATCCTCATCATAGTCAGCTCTTACAACTAGCATGGGGTCTGGGGACATTCCCCACATAAGAATCCCAGGGGGATGTCACAACTGAGTGAGTGAGTGAGGATGGTTTTACGTCGCTTTTAGCACTATTCCAGCAATATCACTGTGGGGGACACCAGAAATGGGCTACACACATTGTACCAACGTTGAGGATGGAACCCGGGTCTTCGGTGTGATGAGCGAATGCTTTAACCATTAGGCTCCCCGATGTCACAACTGACATGCATGAGGACAATTCAGGGAACAAAGCAGATTTGTTCAACAAGAGCTGTCAAACTGACTTGAATCAAATGTCTATTACATCTTCCAAGATGCAGATATTTTATTAGTTCATAGATTTTAAAGATAAATTGGTTTTTTTTAGCAATTGTCCACTCTTTTTTACCACTGAGATTAGCTTGTTTGCAGAGCACACCTGGATGGTTAAATTTACCATTACAAAACCTATGGTTAGATGTGCTCTCAACTGTAAAATGTCATCTTGTTTGTTTCATTTCATATGTAAAACGAAAGAAGTTACATCACCTGTTTATTGAATCTTTTCAGATGTATTTTCCCATAGATTCTGAAGGTAACAATTTGAAAAAAAACATGGCTTGCAGAACATCGTCATTAGATGAAACAAGCTCGTTGGGAGGCATCATTTGTGTGTGTTGTGCCAGTGAAAAACACTTGTCATAACAAGCCTGCAAGGTCAAGGTGTACTCTCAACCTACAGGTGAGCAAGTACACATTTGATGCTCAGGAACAAGAAGTTTCACTACCACGCTCATCGCCATACCATGAGTGGCTGACTGAGCATATGAGCATTAGTTTATTCCACAGACAATTTTACCACCGCAGCTTATTTAAGAAATAATCGACAAGTGGGAGTTGTTTATCATACAAGAAAACACTGCAGGTATGAGATATCAACATAATGTTTGTTTTTTGTTTGACACGGCACTCAACAATATTCCAGCTATATGACGGCGGTCTGTAAAATAATCAAGTCTGGACCAGACAATCCAGTGATTGACATCATGGGCATCAATCCATGCAAATGGGATATGATGACATGCATTAAACCAAGTCAGCGAGCCTGACCACACAATCCCGTTAGTTGCCTCTTACGACAAGCAAAGTCGCCTTTTACGGCAGGCATGGGTTGCTGAAGACCTATTCTACCCCGGATCTTCATGGGTTTCAACATTATTTACAGCCTCCTAAAAGATGTTAATGAGATGTACAAGCTATAAAAATATTTATCCAAATTTTAATAATGATGACTCCCTGAAAAGAATAGGACCTCAGAAATGATGGACAAGTCCTTTTTATGTACAGGTGGGTTAAGTTTGATATTTCCTGCATATTCTCAGAGTCAATTATCTGTTCCTTTTCTCCTAATACAGATTGTCATATCTCTCCCACTTTTGGATGTGATCATTCAGCCGCTGTGTTTATCTGCGTAGCTGTGTTTATCTGCATAGCCCAGCTACATCTATGGGGAACAACTTACTAGACACTCCCCTCTCAAAAATACTGTTTTCCAATATATGACATCATCAAGTTACGAGCACATGTTCAAATCTCCAGAAATGATGGCATGATAGAAGAATGTTTAATCATGAATTAACCCATGCTTCGTTCTTCATTGTTCTTTGCGATTTATTGCATATCTGTCTTATATCTATGATTATGCCTGGGCCCTACGTTCAAAACCGGTGGTTGATAGCAAGAGTATTGATCAATGTTGTCAGGATGAGATGCACACAATGAGCTATGTTTTGCACTAAAATGGATAGCCATAAAGTTATTTTGTGTCCAGAAAATCCATCATCAATTTCAAATTTCAATGTCTTGTATTTGTAGAAATGTTAGTCAAATGACTTAAGAACTCTCAGATTCTCTCAGAAAATTCATAGGTCATTTTACCTCTCTACAAGTGTCTCACTTTACAACAGAGCATTCCACTACTAGCAGGTGCAGTTGTCTGGGATGAACAAAGGTTAAAAATGAAAAAAACATGTTAATGTTACATCCTTTTTTTATTTCAATTAATTTCCTATGGACTGTCTCGTTTTCATGTTAATGCAGAGAAATCTACCAGTAGTCTTCCCGTGCAATTGAAGAAAACTGTACTATTACAAAGTCTGTCTAATGCAATCCCCTAAAAACTCCCACAAATGTGTGACTTTGCTGACTGAATGTCTGTCCAAGTCATGACTTGTTGCTCATGCTATCAACCACTGGTTTGCCTGGTCCAGACTATTTCATTATTCTGGCTTATGTGATATACCTTATTGTTACTTTGGGTGTAAAATAACATTCATTCACATACTTTAAGGGGGACTAAAATGTGGATCAGTAGGATCACAGCTTTGTACTCCAAACTGAATAATACATTGAAAAACTCTGGTTTCAAGCATACTCTTTCAAATCCCCATTGCAGTGTGTACCTTGTTTGTGTCGTGTTACAGCTAAGATTTTCACCTGGATAACAAAGCATAAAGGGGAAACTGGACCCAGTCACTGTGTTTGATTCTAATAGCTTGGAAACCCCTTTATGATGAAGAGACATCAACCAACTGCTCTGGGCTACGAAGTAATGATTACAAACATGCCAGTGTTTATGACGAGACCAGCGGAGCATGCCAGATGTCTATGGTTATTATGGCCATAACCAGAGCCAAGGACCATACGAGCATGAGAGGCAGGGATGTAAACACATTGTGTACCTTTCCCTCAGGCCAAGGTGAACAGGTTTCACAGATGACAAAGTGAACTGTTGTTTTTCAATAAAAAATGGTAGTGAATGTAACACCCCAGAAGAAAGAACTGAAATAGTATATGACAAGGATGTTTGTTAGTTTAACATAGCTGGTGTTGAGACTGGTTTATCTACATCAACATCTCATCTACCTGGTAGGGAACTGACAAACAGTGTTTCCTTTTCAATCAGGATGATATGGCAGTGTCAAGTCTAGCCTAGCTGATATGCATTCTCTATGAGTGCGAGTGGATTATTTTTAACTTCAAGAAAGTGTGGATGTGTGCGTGCATGTGTTCACTTTGGCCATTTGTACCTTCAGTGTGTGTGTGTGTGATGAGGTGGGGGAAGAGGGAGGAGACCATTGTTGAATTTACTTTAACAACAAAACTTGTTATCATCATCATGCAGGTTGATAACATTAGGGTGATGGGTGTGCTTTATTTTTTTACATTTTAAAAAGGGGGGTTACAGCCAGAATCACCCATGCCACCTACCGCCCCTAACAACCCCCACACACCAAACAAACCCCACCATCCCCCTGGACCTGCCACTGAAGATTGGCCCTGATCATGATCCTTGGCTTGTCAGCAGAATTTCCGTCCTCATAGGTTTCACCCAAGTGATCAAACCACTAAGACCTGTGACCCATGATGATCCGGGGTAGAATAGGTCTTCAGCAACCCATGATTGCCGTAAGAGGCGACTGACGGGATCGGATGGTCAGGCCCGCTGACTTGGTTATTGCATGTTATCGTATCCCAATTGCATGGATCGATGCTCAAGATGTCAATCACTGGACTGTCTGGTCCAGACTTGATTATTTACAGACTGGCATCATGTAGCTGGAACATTGCTGAGTGCAGCGTTAAACAACAAACAAACAAAGACCTGCATCACTTCAGGCTTTCCTCCCACAGTAAACTAACATGTTACCATGGTTATACGGCTGAAATACTGTCCAAAGTGATGTGAAATCTTACTCATGAGTCAGGAAACCTGCAGCTCTGTCTGAGGAAATAAATAATTAAATGGAAGCACACCCATGGTATTGGGTTCATGTTCTCAGAGAGTATACTGCATTATTTGTCAGTTAGAGGGATCACCGTACACATAGGCATGGGAAATAACAATTGTGTTCAGGCATAGGCATGCTGTGGGATTGTGGTACTGTGGTATTATTGGATTGTGGTATTGTGGTATTGGCACCTGTAAAGACAGAACAGCCAACAAATTTTTAAATATTTCCCAGGGAACACCAGCACAAAGCTATATGACTATCGAAACTCCAATACATAAACAAACATCTTCAGTAGTCATAGCAACATAATAATATATTGCAAGTAGCCACCAAGACCTTAAGACCAAATTTCATGAATTATCTACAAATATTTATCTTAAAAATGTGAATAGTGAATTTAACACAAAGGAAACAAAAATTTAAATAATGACCAGATTATGAGCTGTGTGATTTTAAGAGATTTGATGGAACAACAATGTCTGCGTAACTGATATTTTTATATAACTGTAGTGTTTGTTTCTAATATCTTTGTTCATGGATCTGCAAGCCAAAGTGAGTGAGTGAGTATTGTTTTACGCTGCTTTTAGCAATATTCCAGCAATATCACGGGGGGACCCCCGGAAATGGGCTTCACACATTGTACCCATGTCAGGAATCGAACCCCGGTCTTTGGCGTGATGAGCGAACGCTTTAACCACTAGGCTAGCCGACAGCCCTCTGCCATCCAAAAATGTGGAAGGAAATTAAAAGATATGAGGACGGGCCGAGTCATTAAACTAATTTCAACTATGATAAAACTGCCAGGTAGATCAATAAGGAAGGGAGTAGCCACTTAACATGTTAAATCAACTAACAAAAATGTTTTGTACATTTCATAATAATACTTTAAAGAGATCACTAGAAGAAAAATGTTTTGGCAATTGGTCTGTCCCCACTCAATCAAGAGATTATGATCAAGAGATTGAAAGGGGAAAAGGCTTGGATCAGTTGGCAGTCAAAGCAATTCCTTTCTTTGTAAGCTCACATTTTAAAATGTGCAGTCAATGATGATTACCCTTTTCACAGAGTCGATGTGCCAGCTTGACACAATTCAATAATTACAGTGTATATATTTAGATATTGGGTTCAGATTGTGGAGCAAAGTCCATCCCACGTGAAAATCAAGAACCTAATGGGAAATATAAAACATTAATGCCAGAGAATAACCAGTCTTGATTATCTGACAAAACAGATTCCATTTGGCCTAAAAGGTCATCGCAGTCAAAATAATATGAATTGATCACTGAAAATAAGTGATGACACCAGTTGTTTGCAAAAGGGGAAAGCATGTCCTGCCTTTAAAGCTGCCGCTGCTTACCTGCATAGAACTTGACCAGGTAACACAGATCATCATCAGGGCCCTCCTCCTGCACTCGTTTAATGTCGGTCAGGCCCAGGCTGGAGAGATACTCATTCTGAATTGCTAGTGGACAGTCAAACGGTTCCAGACGACGAATGATATCACCATTCTGTTGAATATGCAGAGAGTTGCTCGGTATCCCAATCTGCATACAGATTTTCTGAGCAGTTGTCGCTATTGTACAGGGAAACAATCGCGAATTCTCCTCCGAGTCTGAATTGAACACACGAATACAGCCATGACTGGTATCCTTCTCCAGCCATGCCTGAATATCCACCTTGCGATGTTCCCTTCTGTCCCTTCCACCTCCAAGACGTTCTGTCGCCTCATGTTCCCGCTGGCTGACCTCCATGTAGAGGTCGGCCAGGGAGTCGGAGAGGTCCCAAGTCTCATCATCGTTGCTGCTGTTGGAGAGTGTGAGACCAACACTCTGATGGGTTAGTCCGGGTTTGAGGAACTCCCCGACACTCCACCAGGCGTTACTGCCCTGGTATTTGTTGCTGTAGGTGTCATTGTGGAGGTAGGAGTGGGAGCCGGCTGCGCTGTGTGTACCATTGCTGTGATCACTCCAACCGCTGTAGCTTTTCACAGACATCTCTCATCGTATGGTGACAACCTGAAATGAAAATATTGCCATGAGATGGGTATGTCACTAGTGAGTGAGTGAGTGAGTATGGTTTGACGCCACTTTAAGCAATTTTCTAGCAATATCATGGCGGGGGACACCAGAAATGGGCTTCACACATTTTACCCATGTCAGGAATCGAACCCGGGTCTTCGGTGTGACGAGCAAACGCTTAAACCACTAGGCTAGCCGACCGCCCCCACTATTATCAGGGTATGTCATCTTAATTTGGCTGCAAAGCCCTAAGTGTCACAGGTCATAGACATTTAAATCTTTGGCAAAAGCAAAAAGCAGGGATATGGCCGTGACAAACCAAGGATCATAACTGGAATAAATCTAAGAATCGAACCCATTATTTGAAAAATCTAAGGCTACAAATCTGCTCAATGATTTTGGGCACCTTTGACCTCTCTAGCCCCTGTGCCTGCCTTATTGGAATAAAAAAACATGAAAATTAATCATAACAGCATAAAAACATCACTGAACTTACTGATTGTCATATTCATGAGTGAGTATGGTTTTATGCCGCTGTTAGCAATATTCCAGCAAAATTGTGGTGAGGGACACCAGAAATGGACTTCACACATTGTGCCCATGTGGGAATCGAACCTGAGTCTTCAGCGTGATGAGCGAAGGCTTTAACCACTAAGCTACCCCACCAACTTATATTCATGAAAGATGGTATCATAAGACACAAACAAGTTCAAATACAATGGTGTCAGTTTGGACTACAAGAAGCAGTTGTCTTAATGGTGGAATGAAAACAAAAGAAGTATTAGCTTGGCCTTCATATTCCATATCTACATGCATTGCTGCAAAATGTATATATATAAAACAGTTGTTGAATAAAATTAAATTTTGTAAGCACTGACACACAAGTGACAGATTAGTTGGGCACAGGTCTCCCTGAACTATTTTCATGTATTCTGATGTAACAGGACTGACCTGCACAACCAATTTCTAGCACAGTTGTTACTTGTTCCTTCTGATTGTTCAAGGGATGAAATTGTGTACATCACACTCTGGACAAGGATCAAGTCCTCAAGAAAAAAATAGTTTCAGGAATTCTGGGTCCTTGATTCCTCAATCTTGTCACAGGAGCTGATTAAATGAAGGACTGGTTGGTTTCATGTGTAACTTGGTTGATTGTGTGTCATCATTGAATGGCAAGTACAGTTGATCATGCTATCTACCACAGGGTTGTCTTGCCCCTGCTAATTATTTTTTGTTTATTTGTTGTTTAACGCCGCACAAAGCAATATTCCAGCTATATGATGGCAGTCAGTGTTTTATTGTACGATAAACAACGATTACGAGTCATTTATTTCTAAAATGAGATATCAACATAATGTTTGACTTCGCACTCAGCAATATTCCCGCTATATGACAGCGTAAAATATAAATATGTAAATAATCGACTCTGGACCAGACAATCCAGTGATTGACATCATGAGCATCGATCCACGCAATTGGGATACAATGACATGAATCAACCAAGCCAGCGAGCCTGACCACTCAATCCTGTTAATCACCTCCTACGACTAGCAAAGTCACCTTTTACAGCAAGCTTTGGTTATTGCTTGATATTGACAGCCCTAGTTTTTCCTTCTTCCAGCCATTCAATAACCAATCCTCAAAACTAGCATTGTAGGTTTGGTTCCATGCAAAACCAGTGCATTGTGTTCTGGAAACATTAGGGCAAGGGTGGCCCAGCCATCTGAGGTGCCACAATTTGCAGTGCAGTATTAGGTTCCTTGGGTACACCAGCAACCCATGACCATGTGTACGAATCCCAGATATCCATGCACATGGGTTTCACCAAAGTGGTAAATGTCTTGCATCACTTCGGGCTTTCCTCCCACATTAAGCTGAAATGCCCTGATATGACTGGAATACTGTTCAAAGCTGCGTTAAACTCACTCACTCACACTCACTCACTCTCACTCACTCTGGAGAACATACCAATATATGATATCTAGATTGACTGTCAGCACTGAGCACCCTATGTTTGTATGCCTGGTCTGCTTAATCTCAATCTCATTACATTCAGATCTTAGTTCTCGTTACTGCTAAAGAAAGATCTGAGAACATCCCATTACAGGTCACATCAGACCAACCTTTTGCAAAGTTTTACGGACCAGTGGAATGACTGACAAGATGTTGACATTAGCCAATCAGAAGGCAGCTTTCTCGAGCTTTATGGCACGAGTTTCAAACTGGCGACTACGCTCCGAAACATATTGGAAAACTGAACAAAAGAACATTCTGGAATGGCTAACAGATGGCCTAGATTGTATGGCAGTACTTCCCATGGACAAAACAAAATTTCTCCCGTTCAAATGTTTATCCCACTGATGTAAGAGATAGCCGATGATTTTTCCGATTTCAGTTGTAAAGCCTGTAACAGGTGTTCGAAATACCTCATGTAACTTTTCGAGGTTGCATGATAAAAAAACATATTTCGACTGTCACTTTCCTGATCTGATAAGCGACGCTCTCATTGGTCGGATGAAAAGTCATTCTCACATGACCCGTAATGAGTGTCCTCAGATATTTGTTAAGCGATTGTGAGAACTAAGATCTGATTTTAATGAGATTGGCTTAAACTAGCTGTTCTCTAATGTCACTAAGATGATTCTTCTGTGTCCATCCATATAACATAACATGACATTGGAATCACTAACATTGTAATAAAAATGTTCACAATCAAACTCGTACATATCCCATTCCTGAAAGTGATATTAGCACTATGATAGTCATAAGCCGATGTTAGAGTATGGGAGTTATGATCATCTTAATGTCATGAGCCAATGTTAGAGTATGGGAGTTATGATCATCTTAATGTCATGAGCCAATGTTAGAGTATGGGAGTTATGATCATCTTAATGTCATGAGCCAATGTTAGAGTATGGGAGTTATGATCATCTTAATGCTATGATATCACAAATGGTGTCCTGTACTTCTCTGTCAGCCATGCTTGATGGTACACTCCACAAATGTTAGTGCATGTGCACTGAAGATCACTGCATCTTTTGCAACGTTTAAGATAAAACTAGTCATGTACATCATTATCCTGCACAAAATATGATCTCACTAATAAAACCATAACAAATTTCATTACCGGTATACATACATAACAATCACTTGGTACTGATGATTAAATGCTGGTGATATGAATCAGATATCGGTTAGCTAGGTGTCTCCACTTGTAGGAATTTAACGAGTTTGTTGTGTGCAATGCCCATTTGTAACAATTTACTTTGTAATTGCCTGTTCTAGTCGTGGCCAGGGTAAAACTGAGTGAAGGTCTTGGGGGACCAAATATCCATATTTGTCATCACTTCCACAACAAACAATTGCTATGGTACGAACAGAAGGAAGCCTTTCTCTCCAGGCTATAGACAAACACCACGCTCTCCATCAGCAGGGGCAAGGTTATAAACAATGCTTGATTGCAAGATCTCACCTGTCGTGTCAGGTGAAACAAAAAAATACAAAAACAAAAATGTCAAAGTTACCTGATTTTTTTTTCAAGACACAAAATGGACAAACACATTTGAATTTGGAGTATTTCTACATTTTAAAATTATTTTCACTTTTTTTATCACAAATATGTACCAGGAAACTCATTTCACACACTCAGTGAGAAGTGACCCAACGTCCACCTCCATAAATGTAAAACCTCAATCAGAATTACTAGAGAGTCATTCTATTACATACCGTATTCGACGTAATAAGCGCCCTGCTCTAATAAGCGCCCACGGCGATATTTGCTAATATATTGGCTAGTGAACAATCTCAATTAGCACCTCTTCCAATTGATTAATGTACACAAGACTTATTCATTTGTGTATAATACGCACTCGTGTGTTATATGCACCCTTAATAATGGGCAATTAAATCCTGGAAAAATATATCTGTCGTATATAAACATTTCAGGCTGTCAGCATAAACCATGAAATTTACGATCTTTCAACTCAAAATACTATTCTAATAAGGGCCCCCTGTTTCTAATTTCGAGAGCGCCCTGGGCGCTTATTACGTCGAATACGGTATGTCAACTGTTCCTGTAAGACATCAACCATTGATAGTCTGGATGTTCTAAAAAGATTAATGTTTGTTCCAGAAAATGTTGGAAAAATATAACTTTTTCTCAGGTTTTGCAAAAAATATACAATGTATAACTATTCACTGGGCATGCTAGATGTCCTGAAACAGAATGCATTGTGGGTAAAAAAAAATCCTTGTTTGGCTTCTCTTTCAGAGACAAAGATTGTGTTTGAAGCAGTGACTGAAACATATTTTGACACTAACAAAATGCCTAGGCCCTCTCCAGAATATTAAATGGTCGATCCAGGTGAAGGTTGCTAATAAAGGGACCTCCTGGTCATGGGTTCAAATCCCAGAATCCCTCTGATATATGAAACAGTCTATTTCACCATACCTGTGCTCATACATTTCACCAAAGCAGAGTGTCTACTGCAGATTATATCTCCCACGGTTCCATGGCAGGATGTAACTGACATAACGCTCAAAGCAGAGTGTCTACTGCAGATTATATCTCCCACGGTGCCATGGCAGGATGTAACTGATCATGACATACTGCTCAAAGCGGTGTTATACTGGAAAATATCCTTTCTGTAAACACTGAAAACCATACAAGTTCTTTGGTATTCATATTTATTTGGTATTCATGATTTATTCAGTTCACTCACCCCATTAAGTCTTCCCCTTTACCCACCACATACAAGCTACCCCTTTGTCCCCCTCAAAATATTCCTGATGAAACCAAGAGTTCACAGAGATAGCCCCTTTGAAACAGACATAACATTATCCCGAGCCAGGCCGGGTCATGCTCTCAACACTGAATAAAGGTCATCAGAGATGGTTTTGCATATTGTGATAGCTCCAAGTTTTCTATTTCACAGGAAGTATTGACAAGCTGTTTGCCTTGGAGATAACTGACTGTGCTGGACTTTACTGTCAATAAA